CTCCACCCCTGCTGAGAGTGCCATGCTCAGCATCCAGACATCTCTCCAGCCCGTCATCTCATTCTGCATATTCCCCACTGCTAAGAAAACAGCTTGCACGAGGCTTCCTTCTCTTCTCACAGAACCCTTCCACACACACTCACTGAGGTTCCCGGTGCGTGGCTTCCCCTCCCCACCCTGGGAAGTGTATTTGGGTTGCATGAAGAGGGACTTCAAGGAGCTGGGGCTCAGGTCTCAATGTCACCTCTTGACTAATAAGCTGCACTTTCATTCTGACTGCAAAGAGCCATCACACCTGACCCTGATGCCTTGTCTTTCTCCAGCATCAGAGACGAGGCACAGAGTCCCACTTTGCCTCAAGAAAGCCCTGCTTGGAGGCCTGAGGCCTGGCAGAACAGGTCCTTCGGGGCAGGCTGTGGGCATGGGTGCAGTGTGAGGAGCCCCTCCTTGGCTTTAGTTCCCTGCTGCTCACCTTGCAGCAGGTTTGCACCCAAGCAGGACCCGGGACTGGACACGGCCCAGTCCGGGCAAGTGGGAGGTAAAGACCTGGGCTACAGCCCGCACCTGCCTTGAGAGTGACGCTCACCTGGTTATGCATTAACAGGGGATCAGCCTTGTGGCAGCCCCAGGGCTCAATCACAAGCCGAATGGGCATGTTTATGGCCAGCAGCCTTCCAATAAATTACCTCTCCTGCCAAAAATGTGCCCTTTTGCCTTTTTCATGTCACCTTGTCACAGAGCTGAAATGACAGGTGAGCAAATAGCAGGGGTGAGGAAAGCCCTGCTCCTCAACAGGTCCACAAAGCCCCCTCCGCCTGACCTGAGCTGTTTATCGCCTGGGAACAGTCTGCACAGATAATGGGGAGCCATCAAGGGTGGGCTGAGTTCCCCCAGGGAGGCCCAGGAAGAGTGACAGGAAGGGGTACTGGGGAGGCTGTGGGCAAAGGGGAAACATGTTTCATCTGCCTCAGCCTATGTGGTGATGGGGCCTCTGAGCTCGCTCTGTCATGCTGAGAAACAATGATAGGAGTCGCTGTCTTTATGGGCACTGAGCAGGCGACAAACGTGTTTGCAGTGTCAGCCTCCACAGCCGCTTGGCATTTTCTATGATCACTGAACATAGAAGGGCAGCTGAGTCCCAAGGCCATTTGCACCGTCACAAGTACCTGAGGATGTAGGCTCCCTCCCAGCCTACTTCCACTATCAGAATCCTGGGTAGTGACACAAGGGAGGGAGGTGATTAGTCCTAGAATAAAAACCCAGTCATCCATGGGCAGTCCATTCTTGTGCCCTATATATATGCACATGGAGACCTATACCTGTTGATGTTGGTGTTATCTGCTCTCCATCCAGCCATTCTACTTACCCACTGTTATGCTCTCTCTCTGGTTCTTTCCTTCCCTGCTTTCCTTTTCTCCTCCCTTCTACAGGTATTTATTAAGCACCAACTGCATGCACAGCTCTGCAGAAGCAGCAGGGAATACAGAGAAAAACAATGAGGGTCCCAGCTCTGGGCAGGTCCCAGCTGAACAGGGAGAGAAACAGGCTTGTGGGGCCACCCCAGCTCCACAGGACCTCTGTGGGAATTGGCGGGAGGTGTCCCTCCAGGTAGACACAGCTCATGGGAACAGGGTTGAGGAAGCAAATGACATTTTTGTACCAACTAGGAAAGGGCACCCTTCTTCCAGGCAGTGGCAGCCCTGAGCCAGGAGCTAAAGCTGGGGCGCAGCTTGTGGGGAAGTGGCGGTGCAGGAAGGCCTGGATCCCCTCGGGCACAGGAAGTGAGCCTGGAGTCTCCTTCCCTGGAGGGCATGGCAGCCCTCCACTCTGGTTGAAAGTGTCAGGATCCAGCCTCCTAACTTAAAAAAAAATCATGATGCAATACACATAACATGAAACTTACCATCTTTACCGCACAGCTTGGTGGCATTAAGTACATCCACACTGTTGTGCAACCATCACTACCGTCCATCTGCTGAATTGCTTTCATCTTGCAAAACTGAAACTCCATTCCCACCCCCAAGCTGCCACCATTGAGCTTTCTGTGTCCGTGGACGCAACCATCCTAGGTACCTCCTGGAAGAGGAATAATGGAGTACCTGTCTTTTTGTGACTGGCTTAATTCACTTAGCATAATGTTCCCAAATTTCATTCATGTTGTAGCAGGTATCAGAATTTCCTCCTTTTTAAGGAATAAGATCCCATTATATGTATATATCATGTTGTGTTTATTTCTTCATCCATCAGTGTACGCTTGGGCTCCTTTTGCCTCTTTATTGTGACTGATGCTAAGACCATGGACGTGCAAATACCCAACATCCAGACATTCAAATAAACTGGAAGCCCATACATGAGACTCGAGAATGGACTCCTGTGTGGACGTGGGAGGGGGCAGAGGGTGCCGGGATCTCTGGGTACTGTGCTGGGGCTAGGTAATCAGCCATGCATAGGACATCTGGGTCCGGTGGGAGACACAAAACTGGCCTGGGATTCTGAAGCTGGGGACTACTTACTCTTAGGGCACCCCCATGCCTTCATTTTCCTGGGATGGCTCAGGTGACACCTGCTGTCACGGTGCCTGCTCTCATTCTCTTCACTGTGTGTGTCTCTGGCTCCCTTTCATTCAGCCTCTCCGTGGGTCCTAATCAGCAAGGTCTACATGGAATCCAAGACAAGGTTCAGGGCCCATTTCCGTGTGCTGGCCAGCCAGGCTCTGAAATGCTGGACGTTGCATGTATTTTTTTTTTTTGTTTTGCTGTACCGGGGATCAAACTCAGGACCTTGCACTTCTGAGGCAGCCATGGCACCACTGAGCTACGTCCCTGGCCTTCACATGTGTGTTTTGTGATCACTAAATGTGCAAGGCTGAAAAAGAGAGTTGCTGTATTTAAGAGCTCTAGGTTGAAAATGTAACCCTAGTTGAGGAGAAGCAGAAGCGGCTGGAAATGCCTGCCTTCCAGGGAAATCCGGGCTTTCTACAGAAGCATCTTAGATGCTTCCAGCTGCACATCCTCAGATGCATTCCAGTTCACAGTGACAGATGGGACCCACCTCTGCTTCTCCTTGCCCAGGCACCCTCACTCCAGTGGCTGGAGCCGCGAAGCCCACTGTATCTCACTGTCCATGGAACCCTCCCTCCCTACCCATGGAATCCACCTGCTGGGCAAGTACAGGATCTAATGGTAGGGGTGTGAGGGTCTCCACTTCCCAATCCTTTAATGTATTCCCGGGGCCACTATTATCTTCAACCTAAGTGGTTGGTCGGTGCTGGGGCAGGTGCCTTACAAGGTTAATCAAATAGCAGTGGCCTCCACCATGAGGAAAGTGAGAGAGAGAGAGAGAGAGAGAGAGAGAGAGAGAGAGAGAGAGAGAGAGAGAGAGAGAGAGATTCCCAAAAGACAATACCTGGGGACATTCTGGCTAACCTGGGCACGCGTAGGAGAGGGCCTTTCATGCAAGGGAGCTGCTCAGCCTGGGCACTTTCACACATTTACCCACCCTGATTGTCCTTCTCTTTCTTACTTGGCTACAGTTGGCAGGGGCAGGAGAGAAGAAAGACCTGGACTTTCTCCCCCAAGTCAATTCTATTATTCTATTATTATTTGGCTTTGTTCTCTTTTATTATCTTAATGCAACCTACTAAGTAAAAGTGTCTCTGTATGGTGTGTGAAGTTTCCTCTTGCTTGTTTCTGCCGCTGCTCAAGTTACTGTTTATCTTTGCATGTGTGCCTGTGGCATCCTTCATTCTTGCTTTCATCAGCAGTCATTCAACAAATACCTTTTCTTTCCTTCCTTCTTTCTTCCTTCCTTCCTTCCTTTTTCTCTCTCTCTCTCTCCTTCCTTCCTTCCTTCCTTCCTTTTCTTCTAAGACCTCTGGGTTGATGAACTTAACTCCTCTGACATCTATTCAGGAAAGTCAACTAAGGAGATTCCCAGACAGTGGAAGTATAGTTAGGAATTCATTAATTCCCCAGAAAATACAGCAGAAGTTAAAATAAATATTTCCAAAGTTATATTTGGAAAATATACTGTACTATATTATACAGTAATAGTATATTATGAAGTACTATTAAAATTTTACTCCTACTTCTCTTCTCTGAACTTAAATATAGGATATTAGTTTACTTTGGGGCATCAAATGACTATTTCTGCCCAACTGAATTTTTATTGTCACACTTGCCCTAGCTCTTTGTCTTGCCCTAGGCCCTCTGTGCCCATATCAACGCTGAGAATTTCGGGCAGGGGGTGGGGAGGTGCCTTGCGAATATGGGTAAGAATCCAAACACATTCTGCTAATCTCAGGGCTTGGTGAAACTCTTTGCTCAGAAACTTTATGGTCAGTGGGAATTGATGGTTTGTGTTTGCTCTTCAAATAAAGGAACCTTGGAGGTAGAAAAGAGCATTTTCTGTGGAGCTGCTGACTTCTGCAATCTTGAGCCCTCTTCCTTATCAGGCCCATTTATTACAGGTCTCATAGATGTTTTATGAGGGCCTGGTGAGGCACTGCTGACTGGGGTGGTGGCAGCTGCCTCCACTTTCCACATTGTTGACAAGATCAAAGGACAGATTTACCACCTGATAAGATGGGGCGGATAAGATAGGGCAGATCCTGAACTGACTTCTTGCCTCCATGCACAGAGGCAAACAAAATTGGCTCCTCTGGTGCCTTTTCCTTCCTTGGTGGAAGGCCTTTGTTTCTTGCATCATTTACAGGACCAACTGGAACTGCCTAGCAAATTCTGGCCCCCTAAGCCAAAAGCCAATTCTCCTTCATGTCAACAGCCTTAGATGTTTTAAATGCATATTTTCAATATATAAAAATTCCATATCTTTAATGATTTCAAAGATATAAAGATTTTAATATCTAAAAACACCTGAGCACTTCAATTCTTATTCTGTTTAGACAAATGACCCTAATTTTAAAGTATGTGCAATGAAAAAAGGAAAAATGAGTGCATGAAAGTAATATATGGGCAAATAAATCATCTCAAGAACATTTATATTTTCAGGCAGAGAATTATATTGACTTTATTTCCATCCTTTGTTGACTTTTACTACAATTACCTTAACAATCGTTGACAATGTCCTTTTAATTTGTCACATTATTATTGAACATAGGAAACTTTCTTTTATCACTAGAAAGCTCTTTAGTTAAGAGGCAAAGGGAAAGATTCTCTCCTGAGTTAAGATAAATTTCTCTGGCTTTCCAGAAATGCCTCACTTTGCCGACACTCTATGTACTCACTGGCTTGTGTTCTCTGTGCTTCTGCCTGTATTGTACCACATGGGTGGACCCAGAGGCATCTCCTATTTTGGCATTAACTTTGAAAAGAGCAAGCATGTCTGACAATGGCAATGCAGGGATCCAGGTAACTTACGATTGCCTCTAGAGTCTGCTTTCAGCAATATTTTAAGGGGTTACTTTTCGATCCACATTGTCTCAGAAAGATTATACAGCAGGCGCTGAGGAAAGTGAGGCCAACTCTGCTGATCTTGGCTATATGTTTCTGACACTCAAAGCTCCCTTCGTCCCATCCAGAGGGCCCTCCTATCTCTGAGCTCACTAAGTTTTCTCTGCTGAGGGGCTCTCTCATGTCCCCCACCCTTGTGGCAAGGCAGGCTCCCTCTGTCTTCATTTATCTTCCTTTAAGATGCACCTGCTGTGCGTCTTGAGGCCTCTTGGAAAGTCTGTTGATGAAATAGTTCCTGTGAAGGTGAGAATACCAGGCATCACTCTAATTTATTATGCCCTTCTTCTTCCCTCAGAGTTACAATTTTGCAGAGAATGGAGTGGCAATGGTGGCATTTCAGACTCTGGTTGCGGTTTATGCCACGTGTTCCCCCCCTGAGCATGACTCAGGACTCCTATATGAAATGTGCTTGTCTTCCTAGCCACCTCTTAGGCTTCACATTCTGGCACCTGGGTCCAGGCACAGATGCACAAGTAGTGACACTGTGTTTAAAGACGTGACTCTTCCCCACTCTAGGTGTCAGAGGAAGGCCGGGGCTCCATCTTCTAACACACATTTGGAAGACAACAGCATGCCTTTGTTCTGAAAACCCTTCCCAGGGCTGGCATGTTATTGTCCGAGGGCAGAAGGACCAGCTCTGGATGTGATCAGGCTTAGAGAGCTTTACAGAGGAAATGGCACCTGAAAAAGCATTTGGGAAAAAAATGGAAAAGGGTTTTTTAAAGACTCATGGGCAGTGATGTGTGCTTGGGTGGTAGATTCCATTCATAACCGTGGGAAGGCCTCCTCCCAAGTCCCTCATTTATAATTAACCCCCAAATATTTTCCCTGGATTCCAACTCCTCTGCCCCAGTTCATATAGCCAAAGGAAGCCAAGACAGCTTTGTGCATACCTCATCTCCTTGCCAACATAGGCAAGGCATGTGAAGACCGTACATATTTGTTTAAAAGGCAGATCCTAGGCCCATAGCAAATGACAGTGGCCTAGGAATCTTCATTTGGATGCAGCCCCGCCACTGCATAGTTCCAACACAGGACATGGACTTGCATCTTGGAATTGCTGACCTGGTGGAATGAACAACCCGAGTAGGGAGGTAGGAGAGCCACTGTCTAGTCTCCTGTCTGCTTGTAATCTGCAACATGACCTTGGACACGTCACCTCACCTTAATGAATTATAGAATCTTCAAGGCACAGCCCCGTCCCTCCAACCCCAACATTGGTTTCGAAATACAGGCCATCTGGGTTGGTATCTGGTTGTTTTGCTCAGTTCAGAGTTGGGGCACACCACCTCCCTGAGAAGGGATTGTATTTCAGGTTGGCAAGAGAATGGCTCAAGCTTTCCCTGGTGGTACCACATGCCAGTCTGAACTTGGATTCCTACAACAACCCACAAAGCCAACTGGCTACACTGACCGTATTTCTTTTTTCCATGCCATACAACCCTCCTCCTCACAAGCAACATCATGTGGTTGTTGAGGTCATGGGCATTAGGGTTGAGTGCCTTTGTCATTTACTAGCTATGTGACCTTGAGTGAGTCTCCTGGCCTCTTCCAGCCTCAGTTTCTGTAACTTAATATGGGAGTAATAATAATAATACTCCCTTGTAGAATTTGAGGGGCAATATTTGAAGGAGTTAATATATATAAAATGCTTAACTGTGTACCTGGTACATAGTGAATAATTGTTAGGGTTAGTTGTTATTGTTGCCACTATCATAGCACATTGCAGTTTATAAAAAGCTTCCGTAAATACTACCTGTTCCTGTGATTTTTCACTAAGACTTTTAGAGGAAGGAGGGGGCAAGTAATTCTGTTGTACAAATAAAAAAGTTGTCACTCAGAAATTGTTGAGGGTCACAGAGCTAATTTCTTAAATGCTTTGAACTCCAAGACCAGGGTTGTCTCTAATTCACAAAGGTCATATTTTCTTTGTGGTTGGTAGTCTCCTGTTTTGAAAGATTTGGGTTCATGGCCATAAAGGTGTTTTGTCCCACAGCAGTATTGGGAGCTGTCATCATCCCAGGTACCCCAGTGCCACATCTGTACACAGTGGGACTGCTGTGTGTGCTGTGGGGTGGCACAAGGGGACATCTCCATGTTCCCCATCAATGGCTCCGTAGCCCAGGCCACTGTCCCCTCTTGGGATTATGGTGCTGGCAAATGAGAAGTTGAGCTGAGGAGCAGTCCTGGAGTGGGGATTAGGAGCATAAACACTAAAGCAGCCTCCCTGCACTGGAAAGCCCAGCGTCTCTGAAGAGCATGGATGTTCCCAGCCTTAGGGATGCATGGATGTGGTCTTCAGGGGATGGTACATGGGGACTGAGCTCCAGCCCAGGCAGGCAGGGTCACAGAGCTCCATCCATCTCCAGAAAGGGAAGCCTGTTTCCAGAACAACAAATCCAAGGTATAGGCTTGAGGCAGCCCAGCCTGGAGCACTGGGCCCCTGAAGGCTCAGCTATTTCCTAGGAGCCTACAAGTGATGCCAAGTGCCCTGAGGAGGTCCTGGGGTCTGAGAGGGTGGCTCAGGTACTTTGGAGTCAGCAGTGTTCTCTAATGAGAGACCCTCGGTCCATAGGGACCCTCTGAAAACACCACCATCTTTGCACCATGGCCTCAGCTCTAACCACTTTAAGTCAGGAAGCATTAAAGATTTTGATTGTGTGTTCTCAGATAGAGAAAAATGCATAGTGATCACCACTCCAAGGGCATTGGGGAAAATTGCTAGGCTTGACAGCAAAAGGTTGGTGGATTTGAAATGAATAGAGCTCCAAATATGAGGGCACTAGTTTCTTTCGGGAATATTGAGCTCAGAAACCCACAAGCCTTGAGATCTCTTCCATGTGGCCACACAGCTGGCTGGAAACAGGAGACAGTTTCTAGGAGTAAATGGTCCCTCAGCTTCTGCCCACTCTTCTGAAGCACCAGAGTTTCTTTCAAGGACCTTGGTATGTGGCTCACCTGGATAGTAGGAAGCTGGTAAGTTGGGTAGCATAGGGTATGGGCAGCTGGGTTCCCTTTCTTATAGATACATAGTCCATCAAATGTTCCCCAGCCCCAGGGAAGCAGGCCCTCAGGAGGGGAGTGGTGGCTGCTGGTAGGCAGAGCAACTGCTGGTCAGTGCTCACGCACCAGCTTCTTGTGGTCCAGGCCATGGAGGCTGGGCTTGGGCTTGGGACTGGGAGGGGGTGTTGAAGAACGCCACTTTTATTGTCCATGAAATTGTTTCCGAAACATTATCAGCTCAGATTATTGGCCACAAATTTTCATTCTAAATCAGTGTAATAGGCTTTTACAGTGCAGTAAAAAGCATATTAGCTGGTCCTGGGGTTGTCTTGCCTCCCATTCACTCCACTGTTTTATCAATATTGCCATAATTTGACACTTGAGAGTAGAGGAAGATTGTAAAGTGTCCATAGATCTTGTAAACCGTACTAAATGGAGATTAGTATTACTCCTAAGTTTAAACCCTAGTAAAAGATAATTAAGTTGATGGGCATGGCTGTAAATCTCTCTTTTATCAAGTGCTTGCGCTCTGTGAGCAGTCTCCAGACTTATTATTTTACAGCGCCATTAATATCCCGGCGGGATCAGCCTCTTGAAGGGATGTTGCTGCTGTTGGTAAGGAGACAAGAAGATTCACCACTTGTTCACAAAAATCCATGCAGGCCCTTACCTCCTTTCCTTCTGCCATGACTCCAGTGTGTGTGGAAGGATTGCCTGGTGCCTAGGAGCAGGTACAGGCTGCCCAAGGGCGCCCCCTGTCCACTTCCCATTCCAATCCCTGGCTTTCTTAAGGGGAGCCCTGGGTGTCTGAAGGCCGCCTTTTCTGGGGCTCTTGAAGGCAACAATTTTCTTGACGCCTCCGTGGGGCCTCCTTTTCTGCTGAGACAATCTCACCTGTAGTTCAATAATGTTGCTTCTGAGGAAAATAAAACTGGCAGATGACAATTCAATTCAAGGGGCTGAAATGCAAACATATTCTTAAAAGGCAGCCACAGTGGTACCCCATGGAAGGGGAACACCCCAGGATGGAGGGCTGTGTCTGAGTGGCCCAGTCTTACTTACTTGTTTCCCTCAAACACACACCAGCAGAGTCTTTTGTGCCTCTGACCCAGGCCGAGTGCTGGTGCTGGGGCTGAGCAGAGGTCTGGGCACTGGGACAGTGAATCCACTGAACTTCTGCTCTCTGAGACTCATCTCTGGGGCTTCCTTGTTAAGGGAATACTCACAAAGGATCTCCATCACCACCCACCGTTCCTACCCCAGCTGCTGATCCCAGCCTTAGCCAGGGAGAGCTGTCTGTCTCCCAGTCCTGACTTCTGGTCAGGTGCAGAGCTTGCAAATGTTGAGTCCACACGTTTGTCCAAAGCCAGCTTATCCTTCCTCTGCTCCCTTCTCTCCAGGGCCACTGGAAGAAGTGTCCGCTGATAGTGCTGGACACCGGACACATGGCTGAAGGGCAGGCAGGGAGAAGGGGGGGGTAGGATGGGAGTTGCTGTGTCTCTGGCCTTACCTGGGGCCTAGCTTGGACCGGGTCCAGCCCCGTCTTTGGAGCTGCAGATGCCACTGGAGAAAGATGGTGGGTTCTTTGGGCACTGGGTTTTCCTGGGCCCCTCAGAGGTTCAATTTGGGCTCCAGGTATTTATTTAGAAGTCTTTGAATCCCAGTTAAACAGCAACCCATTATTTACGAAACAGATGGTCTGGGGGTCAATGGTTTTGCCCAGATCTGCTCCCAGTTTTGACCGTGACCTTGAATTGAGCCTGTAGGGTACTAGGTTCAGGGCCTTCTGGCTGGTCTGGGCCATGAGGCCAAGTTCTGAGGCCACTTGGGCGAGCTGTGCTCTTTGGCTGGCCTTGACTAGAAACTGAAACACGGGGAACAAGGAAATAGCACCACAGAGGAGTCATGTAGGAGATGGGATTTGGCTCCAGCAGATAAACACACATTTTCCCCCCTTTTTATTGCTTGAAGCTGAGTGATATGTACCTTGGTTGGAATTAGCAGGCTGAAAGTTCAAGTGATAAGCAGCTTCTTAGGGCATGGGGCTCTGCAAGGCTGCCGTGGGGGCTTGGTGGAGGGCCCAGGAGGATTTATCACCTTTTGAACCTTCGGACTGCTCAGCAGGTGCGAGACAGCTCTCTCGGGCTATCTCACTGTGCTCAGTAGCAGGAGCAGGAGCAGAGGAGATGGCCCGCCAGCGCCATGGCTGCATCTGAGCACGAGGGTGGTATGCTATTTGCTCTGATTGAAGCTGGGCTGCCTTACCAGAGAGGAGAGTAGCAAATATTAAGGCCCTCTTGATTGCCAGGGTTCAGGCTCTAAAACCTTCCTGGGCCTAGGCCTGCTGCGGGGAACCCAAAGAGGAGGAGTTCAACAACAGACTCATGAGTTCTGTCTCTCTTTATGGGGTTACGGGAGGAGAGCAGCCTCAGTTAGGACCACGTCATTGGGAGCATTCACAATTGCACGCTGTGCTTGTTACAACTGCAAGCCTTGGCTCCTCCTCAGGCCTGCTGAGTAGGGGGACATACAGGGAAATTCATATACTCATCTTGGGAGCTACCAGCCCAGGCCCTGATGAGGACAGATCAGAGCCCTAGTCCGAAAAGTGAAAAATCTCATTTTCTCTGGTTCAGAATCCATTCACTTATGACTTCCTTCTGAGCACTCTCCAGGCTCCCAGATTACAACTGGGAGTGAGTCCCAGGCCTGGCCTTCCTGGAGCTCCCAGGAAGCGGAAGAGACAGACAAGTGGGCCTCGTGTGCAGAATGTAGTGACCCAGGTAGCCCAGGGTCCTCTTGTGGCCGACAGGGCCCTTGGTGCAGCCGAGATTCTTCTGATCCTGTTGTGGAGTATGTATGTGTGCATGTGCATGTGTGCGTGTGTGTGCGTGTGCAGGAAGGGGTGGGTGTCATGTACTCGCAGACCCATTGGCCTGCTTCTAGACCTTCTGCTGCTTCTGCCCTCCTGGCTCACCTTGGAAACTCTGCCCATTGAAGATTTAACATCAGACGAGATATGTTTTTCTCTCTACTTCTTAATGGAATGACTATATGCCACATTTGATATTATGTTCCTTAAAAGTGCCACCTTTAAGTTCTTTCCAGAAAGACAGAAGGAAGAAAATAAGAAAGCAAAGGAAAAAAAACAACAGATACAAACCTCTAGTCCTATAGCCCAAGTCAAACCCTAAAAACATGAGGCTGAGGCAGACTGTAAAATGTTCACCATCGCTAAGCTAATAAACCCAACTATCTTGAAGAGCAAACACCATATTGTTTTGCCAACTATTAGATTTTTACTACTCACCAATAAAGTGAACACTTTATTCCTTTCAAATAATATTCTACTCATTGTTTCCTAAAGATTAGCAATTGAAAGAGATGTCAACAGTTTTCACTCTTTAAATTAAGTATAATAGGCTTTTATAGCATAGCATAAAGATATCAAGGAGAAAAGCTGCAATCACAACCACTCGATTTTTCTTTTATCTGTTACTATAGCCCCAACCTGACACTTGTGAGCAGAGGGAGCTTGTAAACGGCCAGCAGACCCCATAAAGCCAGTGACAGATTAGTGTGACAGCTCATTTTAGGCACAGTAAAGTGATCATTTAATTAACTAATGGGGTTGTAAGCATGAAGGTTTATCTAATTAGAATTCTTCACCTTGCCTCCTGGTAATTCTGACTGGCTGTTTACATATTAGCACCAGCCTGCACTGAGATGTGGCCAGACTCTGCTTCTGTTCAGGATGTTTCAGTGGAGTTGAGACATCCCCTTCCCACATAGAAGTAGGGTGGTTTATCAGAGCTCTTTTTGAATGGTTTTAGAGATGTTGCAAACACTCCCTCTTTGGGTGTTTGATATACTGTCCATGCAAGTTTTAACAAAGTAGACACCCATGACATTTTGTGTGTGTGTGTGTGTGTGTGTGTGTGTGTGTGTGTGTGTGTGTGATAGTGGATCTGGGAAGGAACTTTCCCTCTGCATAACTCTTTTTACTCTGCTGTGAGTAGACCCATGTTGCATGTCCACTGGACAGCCAGGCCCACCTCCTACAGAGAGGTTGTGTGGAACAAAGCAGGGCCAGGAGTCTGTTCAGAGCTCTGGATTCCAGTGAAGTCCCTATGGGAAATTCTCATAGAGAAATGTTCTCCTGTCTGCCCTGGGGCTCACCTCTTTTCTTCACAGATCTGGGAGGCCAAGGATCCCAGAGAGGTCAGTGTACACCTCTGGAGTCTGGATCCACCCAGAGCATCTCACAGGGAGGCAGACATGAGCTGCTCGGCAAGGGGGAGGCCAGGGGACCTGGGACAGAGAGTCATGTGAGCTGGTGGGTCTTCAAATCCACCCTCTCTGCAATCCTCTTCCAAGCTTTTCCTTATCTGATGCATTCTGGAGTGACCATCACCCCCGAAGTCTTTCCAGACTTGCTCAGAAAAACTTTCAAAAATTTGTAAAATTAATCTTTAAATGGTGATAAAATCTACCTAAAATTTGCCATTTTAACTGCTTTTAACACGTGTAGTTCAGTTGCATTAAGTACATTCACATTATTGTGCAACCATCATCACCATTCTTCTCTAGAGTTTATCTTGTAAAACTGAAATCCTGCTCATTCCCATTAAACATTAACTACCCACCCCCCGGCTCCTGGCAACCACCACCCTCCTTGCTGCTTGTATAAGTCTGACCTCATGTGAGTGGAATCATACAGTCCTGTTCCTTTTGTATCTGGCTTATTTCACTTAGTATAATGTCTTTGAGGTCCATCCACGCTGTAGCATGTCAGAATTTCCATTAAAGGTTCAATCATATTTTATTGTATGTAGATACTGCATTGTAAAATCACTTATCTGTTGATGTGTTGATGGGGAATTGTGTCAATTGCATCTTTTGGCTACTGTAAATGTTGCTGTTATGAACATGGGTGTACGATTAAGTAATTCCTCCTTTTCTGACAGGGACATGTTCCAAGGCCCCTGAGATACCTGGAACTGAAGATGGTACCAACCCAATATAGTACTTGAACGTAAGCACTGTGATACTGCAACAGTTGACCCGGTAACTGAGTGACTAACAGGCAGGTAGTTTACACAGAGTGGCTACACTGAACAAAAAGATAATTCACATTCTGGGTAGGATGGAGAGGGATGAGGTGAGTCATCATGCTACTAGGAATGGTGCACAATTTAAAACAGGTATGTCTGATTTCCACAAGTTTTCATTTCATGTCTTCAGACCATTGTTGACCACATGTAAACTGAAACCGTGCAAAAAGAAATCCTGTGTAAATGGGGACAGCTGTATGTGTTTGAGTCCTTGTTTCCGTTTTTGGGATATATACCCAGACGTAGAATTACTGCATCAGATGGAATAATACAGGAATGGCTGTATTATTTACCCTAATGGCTCTACCATTTTATTTATGTCCCTACCAGCAATATGCAAAGGTTTAAATTTCCCCATATTTCCCATCAGCATTAGTTGTTTTCTGTTTTGTTTTAAATAATTGCCATTCCAATGGCTGTGAAGTGCCATCTCGCTGTGGTTTTGATTTGCACTGGTAATTGGGTAAGTTTCTGGGCTGGGAACCACTGAGTTAATGACTGTCATTTATGCAGCGTGCATTACATGTCCGGTACCGTTCTGATACCCAACGTCTGTTCGCTCAGATGCTCTTCACAGTAACTCAGTGAGAAGTAGGAATCCTTGCTTTTCTTGTGGACAAGAAAACGAAGCACACCGAGAGGTTTTCTCGGCTCATTTTTGGTGGAGCCAAACTTCAAGTGCAGAGGCATCCCCGAGCCCTGCTCCCTTCCCTATGCGGTCCACCCACAAAGGCTCTCACTTGCTGTACCTCACTTCAGGAGAAGAAAATGTTAAAGGACATTAATGGGATAGTAAATCACATTGGGTCCATGTGGCTTGGAAAACATCAAAATTCAATCTTTACTTTCACTTTTGAAAGGAGCATTTTTTTTTTTTTTACATTACATTTTCAGGAAGAAGGGTAAACAGAGAAGGATTACTTAATTCTAAATGATCATAGATATTTCCCTTTTAACTAATAGATTATTTTGTAATAATTTATTCAAATATAAACTGAAGCCTGTTTTTCAAGAGGCAGGAACCGCCCAGGATAGGGCCATGTGTGGGACAATACCGCCATCTCGTGGACAATGAGAACACAACAGTTCACACGGAAAGGAATTAATCCTAAAATTACAAGCGAGACTTTTTATGTAC